CTGGCTCGCGTGCGCACAGCGCGGGGCCCAGCTCGTCTGAGTGGCGTCCCGCCTAGGGGGCTCCCTTTGCAACACCCAGGCTGGCAGGTGTGCCTGCTGCGTTGATGTGGGCCGGGACTTGAAGGCAGCAGGGCCCCCGACGGAAGCCAGGCCCAACGCCTGGTGCGGTGGGGTCACCTGGAGCTGTTTGCCGTCGGCCACGCCGACCGCGCTGTGGTGGCAAAGCGACGATTTGCTGTTGCCAATGTCCCTGGCCTCAAGCATCGCGACTGTGCCGTGTGTGCGTGTGCACTGCAGGTTTGGTGCTGCGGCGGTGGCCAAGGGCCAGCATGTGTCTTTTTTTGAGGTCGACCTGCCGGCTGCATCGCAGTGAGCGCTGCGGTCGACGAATTTGCGGTTTCCTTGGGTGTTGGGGGATCCCGCACAGTGCACTGGGAGCTGGCGTGACTCACACCTGTGTGTGCGCCCGACAACAACAGCTGCGCTTCCCCCATCTGCCGCGCTGTGCTGATCCAATCCATGAGCCTGCTGCACCCACTGGCTTGGCAAGCCGCAAGCTTGCAGACAGCTCGATCAGGTTACACCCACCCGAGCACCCACTTAGCTGGTCGTTCGTACCCCTCAGGAAGAAGCGGGAGCTCGTTGAGGCTCTGTTCTCACCCTCCGCCTACCCCCGCCCCGCCTACGTGGCCGCTGACCTGGCGGCGGTGCCCCTCATGGACGCGCTGGAGGCGGCTGCTGTGGGGTTTGACCGGTCAAAGCCGGCGCTGTTCACTGTGGAAGGCCTGGTGAGCTGATGAATCTGCAGGCGCCAAACACCGCTTTGCGCGCGGGTGATGTCCAGTTGGCTGCAGCATGTACGAAGCAAATGGGGTGGCTGCTGCTGCATGAGCAGGGCGTGTCCCTTGACAACGGTCACAATCAAAAACATATGCACAGCTGGCCGGTGCAAAGGGCACTTTGCTCACCCCCTGGCTGCCGACCTTGGAATTGACGCAAAACTCTCAACATTCGCTTGGCAACTGAACCCGAGTTTCATACTGTATGTGGCCACCGACACTGCCCATTCACACAGGTGTACTACCTGCCAGGGGGGAGCGTAGCGCGTCTGCTGGGCGGCATCGCGGCGCGCGCGGCGCCCGGCAGCCGCGTCGCCTTCGACTTCCTCAGCCGAGACGTGCTGGACGGCGTGAGGGCGGCGCCCGCGTACAAGGTCCGTGTGGAGCGCGTGCACAAGATAGAAGGCGACACAGGACAAAACATCAGCTTGCTTGACTTGTTGAGGGAAGCGGGTTATTGGCTGGAATTGAATGCAAACGCCATACGTGGGTGTACCTGAATCTGCGTGTCGCTGGTGCAGCGACTCATGTTGGTGCCTCTCAGGTGACCGCTCGCAGCGTGGCCAACAAGGGGGAGCCCTTCATATCTGGGCTGCCAGACAGCCCTGATGGCGTCCAGGCGTTCTTCGACGGTCCCGTCAGGGAGGCTGCCGCCAAGGCCGCCGCTGCAGGCGCTGCAGGCGCGGACACACCCCCTCAGCGGCTCCAGCTGCAGGAGTGAGCTGTCAAATTTGTTCTTGTATGGCTGATTTCATATCCAGATGGCTGGGGTCGTGATGGCTGGGTTTCGAATTACTCAAAGCTGCCTTTATGGGCTGACATGATGCATTTATGCACAGCTTCCGCCGGAAGCGTGTGCCTGACGGAGCGGCACCCCACGCACCCTTTTGGCCCCTCTTATCCTGGCTCTGCAGGTTTGTGGATGCCAAAGAGATGGCGGCGCGCCAGCTGCCGCACCTTGTTTGGCCGGAGCCCGGCACCAAGGCGCCGCCGCCCATGCTGTCTTTTTACAGCTTCGCCTCGGCCGAGGTCGTGGCGGCGTCCTAAAGCGGCGGGCCCGATCCAAGGCTGTGAACTCTGCTGTGACTAGCAAGCAAGGGTTGTTATATCTGTGAGGGCGCGACATCCCACCTTTTATATGCGCGTGATTATCATGCGAATGTGCGACCACATGTATCCCATTCTGACTCTGGCGGCCTGCTCAGAAACCAACGAGGTCAGCACACGCAGTTGCATGACCTATTTACACCCCTCGCCCTGGCGGCTGCACCAGACAAAAAGTATGTTGTAACGGCATGCACCCGACAACAAAATGCTAGGGTCAGGGGTTCACGCACAGCCGCCGAGCCAGCGCGCCGAGCGGCTCCTGCCCCGGCCCCATCTGCCGCCCTCTGATTACAGGCTGGGGCAGCAGGTTCCTGCAATACACCGGGAAGCTGCTCGCCGTGCTGCTCTGGCTGGGCCCGAACACGACGTGCAGGCAGCCGTCGGGCGCCTGCATGAACGCCAGGCTCTCGGGGCACGCGCCCTGGGTGGTTTGAGCGTTAGTTGGGGCAGAGGCAGAGCGTGGGCCGAATGCCATGTGTGGGCACGTACATGACGTGAGGCTGATACCACAAATGATTTACCACATTACCAAGATCTGTTGCAGCTGCAGCTGCAGAATACCCTGAGCCCAGGCCTCTGCATGCGCGCGAATAATCAGGCAAAATCAGAGGACACGCAGGCTGGCGAGCGCCGCTGCGGCCCCTCTGAGGGTCAGCCACGCAAAACCCTCAGCGTGTTGCAAGGCCAGGGGATGTGTGCTGGACGCCCGGTCAAGGCAGTGCATGCTTTGAAACACGGGCCACGGACGAGTCTGATGATTGCGGCGCAGCAAGTCCCCCCGCCCAAGCACCTCTGCCGCCTGTATCCTGGCCTCTAGCTCTGATATCGTCTCTTTCGAGCCCGCCGTCAGCCGCGTCGTGCTGCCGTCCGCGCGCCGCACCACGACGTTGCCGCTGCCGCAGGTCGAGGCAAACGCGGCCGCTGCGGTGAATGCACAGAGGGTCGTAGGGATTTGCTTGTCACTGCGTGTCAGCTGCCCCTTTGGAGAAAATGTGCAAATCTTACGGGTGCACAAGAACCGCACAACTCTGCCATCTGTATCACCAGTGATGCCCTAACAGGCTGTGCACAATGCGTTACTTGCTTCAGCTTCTGGGTCCTCCAACAAAGCCCATGAACAAGTGCGCACAGTGCCACTTCCGGGGGGACCTCGGTACAACCACTGCTGACTGGATCGCGACTTACCCGCCAGCCCGCGTACGGTCAGAAGCTCCATCATTTGCTCCATGGTGCTGCCGCGCTCCACCGCCTCCAAGTGCTGCTGCTGCCCGCCGCCCGCGGCGCAGCCGGCCAGCCACACGCTGCGCGGCGCCGCCAGCTGCCGCCGCACGTGCAGTGTTGCCTGCGCCCGCAGACGTGTGTGTCACGTGGCAGGCAAACGTAATGGGCAGCTGGGTGCTGATACCTGCATAGATGCGCTGCTGCTTCTGCTGCCCTGTTTGCCAAATAGGGTGCACGCATTTGCACAGAGTGCAGCTCCCTTGCAACCCATCCAGCAACGTTAATTATCAGCCTGGGGGGCAGCCGCCCTGCCTGCTTGGGTGCTGCCGCCACAAGTTGCTGTATTAGTCATCAGGGCAGTAGTCACGCTTTGGCAGCAGCCAGTCATGCGTCCTCGTCCTCACCTCTTGCCGTGTGTTGTAGCGGTCCAGCCCCAGGTCCTCCACAATGTGATCAGCATCTTCCAGAGACTTGCCAGCAAACAGCAGTGCCTGTTCCGCGGCGGGCACACCTGCAGGCCGGCATGTGCAGTACAGGTGAGGGCCAGTCCTGCGGAGCAGGCCTGCGGAGGCAGCCTGCCGCGCCTGCTGCAGTTTGGAGCCGCCCATTTGCACTTGCCTAGTGATCTTTCCACGTGCTGCTTCACCTGCCGCACAGTGGTTGGCTCACTCAGCAGCTGATGCAGGGGCGGCAGCAGCAAAAGCAAGGGTGTTTACGTCAGCGGGGCGCATGGTCAGCGGGTTGCGCAGCAGCGGGCCGAGCCCAAGCACGACAGAATTGCAGGCTATCTTATTTGCTTACCATCATGGTCCTTTTCCCGGCATCGTCTTCGATGTAGAGCCGCATTTTGCACGGTCAAGGGTCTTCCCGAATGTCTGATGAGCACGATTATCCGCGTATGTCAGATTGATGATAGCAGCTGATTGTCTCAATGGTTGAGGTGATTTCACATGCCTGTACGATCACGCAGTTGTTAGCGAGGTGTCCAGCAAAACCTTGTACATTTTTCGATGGCTCCTTCTTCTGCACGATCGTATCAATGTATTACAACCATCATCAACATCCAAGCCGCTCTCAATACAGGATCACTGCGTCACCAGAGACACACTTCTACCAATGAACCTTGTTTCCGTACGCCATAGGCCATCGACGCCATCGCAGACGCTGGTGAACGCTCGTGGCACTAGTTTACACCGACGTGGCGGGCCGCCGCGGTTGCCGACAGTGCAATGCAGCAGCAGCAGCTCTGGCGCACACGCGCCTGCCGTACCGGCGGTCCC